GCGTGTCAGCAATTTGAAAAACCCTAATTTAACTCTGGTGCAGTGTCACACGTGGAAATTTTTTGGTATTTGCAACCATAGTAAAACAAAGATTTATATTTTTGATATTTATTTTATATATTTAAATGCCATTTAACAAAGAAAAATCAACCAAAAAAAAATGAGTTCGCGTGTCACCTCTGACACGCATGTCATAGGTTCGCCATCACTGATCTAGAACTATGTTCTCCGGCTTTAGGTCCAGATGTACAATGTGTCTCTGGTGACAGTAATGTGTCACTGATAGCAGTTTTCAGAATGGCGCTTGGGCTTCCTTCTCCTTCATGGGGCCATACTTCTCTAAATCCTATATAATAAAAGGGTAATATGCAAATTGACCCCAACGGTGGAATGACTGGGAACGACCAGTTGCTATGACACACACTGACCACCAGGGGGTAGACGAGCTGTGCCTTGGTGGTCAGTATGCTTCCATAGGGGGAGTGCTGCTCAGCCAGAAGCTGGCTCATGGCTGGCCAGCCAGCGGCAGAGGCAGGAGCTCCACAGCAGTGCTAAGAATATCCACTAACAGCTTAGGCCCGCTCCTTGCAGGCCATTAGTCAGACATCCCCTGAGGGCTCCCAGGCTGCCAGAGGGATGTCTGACTGCCAGCGTAGGCCTGTTCCCCTGGGGAGTGGGCCTAAGCTGGAAGGTAGACATCCCCCGAGGGGTCTTGGACTGCGAGAGGGCACAGGCCGGGCTGAGGGACCCCCCCTCCCAACTGTTTGTGTGTTATTTTTTCCCCATTTACCCCCTCCACCCCATACCCACTCTTTCCAGGCCTTCACCACTCTATTGCCTGTGTCTATGGTTTACACGTATATGCATACAATTTCCCTGGTTAATCAGTCCCCGCCAACCTCCCCACTTCCACCTTCCCTCTGAAATTCATCAGTCTGTTCCATGCTTCTATGTCTCTGGATCTATTTTGTTCATCAGTTTATTTTGTTCATTAGATTCCACATATGAGTGAGATCATGTGACACTTGACTTTCTCTCACTGGCTTATTTTGCTTAGCATAATACTCTCCAGATCCATCCATGCTGTTGCAAATAGTAAGAGAGCTTTCTTTTCTACAGCTGTGAAGTATTCCATTGTGTAAAGTACCACAGCTTTTATATCTACTCATCTATTGATAGGCACTTGGGCTGTTTCCAGATCTTAGCTATTGTAAATTATGCTGCTATGAGTATAGTGGTGCATACATTCTTTCTGATTAGTTTTTCTGATTTCTTAGGATATATTCCTAGAAGTAGGACCAGTGGGTAATGGGAGTTCCATTTTTAATTTTTTGAGGAAACTCCATACTGTTTTTCACAGAGGCTGCACCAGTCTGCATTCCCACCAACAGTGTACTGGGGTTCTCTTTTCTCCACATCCTTGCCAACACTTGTTGTTTGTTGATTTGATGATTACAGCAACTCTGACAGGTGTGAAGTGTTACCTCATTGTCATGTTAATTTGCACCTCTCTGATGATCAGTGACTGAGCATTTTTTCATATGTCTCTTGGCCTTCTGTATGTCCGCTTTGGAGAAGTGTCTATTTAGGTCCTTGGCCCATTTTTTAATTGGATTGTTTGTCTTCCTTTTGTTAAGTTCAAATAGTTCCTTATATATTTTGGAAATTAACCACTTATTGGGTGTATCATTGGCAAATATGTTCTCCCATTCAGTGGGCTCCCTTTTTGTTTTGTTGATGGTTTCTTTTGCTGCGCAAAAGCTTTTTATTTTGATGTAGTCCCATTTGTTTATTTTCTCCTTCGTTTCCTTTGCCCTAGGAGATGTATTAGTAAACATATTGCTACAAGAGATGTCTGAGATTTTGTTGCCTATGGTTTCTTCTAGATCTGTGAAATACACTGTGGTTTTTTAATATGGATTGCATTGAATCTATAGATTGCTTTGAGTAGTAAGGACATTTTAATGATGTTAATTCTACCATTCCATGAACATCGGGTATTCTTCCACTTGTTTATATCTTCCTCTGTCTCTTTTCTCAATGTCCTGTAGTTTTCTGAGGACAGGTCTTGTACCTCCTTGGTTATGTTTATTCCTAAGTATCTTAATTTTTTTGTTGCAATGGTTTCATGACTTACATTTAAGTCTTTTATCCATTTTGAGCTTATTTTTGTGGATGATGTAAGCTGGTGGTCTAGTTTCAGTTTTTTTGTATGTATATGTCCAATTTTCCCAACACCATTTACTGAATAGACTGTCTTTACTCCATTGTATGCTCTTGACTCCTTTGTCAAATATTAACTGAGCATAATAGTGTGGATCAATTTCTTGAGTCTGTGTTCTGTTCCATTGATCTATAAGCCTGTTCTTTTTTATTATTATTTATAAAATATATTTCTTTATTGACTTCAGAGAGGAAGGGAGAAGGAGAGAGAGATAGAAACATCAATGATGAGAGAGAATCATTGATTGGCTGCCTCCTGCACACCCCCCACTGGGGCATGAGCCCACAACCCAGGCATGTGCCCTTGGCCAGAATTGAACCTGGGACCCCTCAGTCCGCAGGCTGACGCTCTATCCACTGAGCCAAGCCGGCCAGGGCTATAAGCCTGTTCTTGAGCCAGTACCAGGCTATTTTGAGTACAGTAGCTTTGTAGTATAGCTTGATATCTGGTATTGTAATTCCTCTAACTTTGTTCTTCTTTTTCAAGATTGCTGTAGCTACTTGGAGTCATTTTTTTCTGGTCTCCTTGTCACTAAGATCTCTCAAATCTAGTGCTGGGTAAGACTATGTCTTTGTTTGACATACAGAACAGTATGGCTGGGTGCTTATAAACAACAGAAATTTAAATATTAATTTACTGATTTGAGAGAGGGAGGGAGACAGAGAGAGAAGAGAGAGAGATCAATTTGTTCTCTTATTTATGCATTCATTGGTTATTTCTAGTATGTGCCTGGACTAGGGCTTGGACCCACAACTTTGTGCAATCTTGACATATCAGAATGGCACTCTAACCAAATGAGCTACTCAGCCAGGGCAATAACAGAAATTAATTTTCACAGTTCCGGAGGCTGGGAAGTTTAAAATCAAGGAGCTGGCAGATCCGGTATCTAGTGAGAACCTACTTCCTGGTTCACAGATGTCTGTCTTCTTACTGTGTCCTCACATGGTAGAAGGCTTGAGAGAGCAGTTTGGGATCTTTTTATAAAATCATCAATCCCACTTATGAGGGCTCTAATAACCTCATCACCTCCTAAAGGCACCACCTCCAAACACTATCACATTGGGGATTAGGTTTTCAATTTATGACTTTTGAGGGGACATATTCAGAATATAGGATGGGGCAAAAGTAGGTTTATAGTTGTGAGTATGCAAAACAGTGTTTATGCTTGTATTGTTATTTATTAATTAATGTATTATTTTCCATACAAACAATTGTAAACCTATTTTTTAAACATTTAATCATCCTTATTTATTTACTTTTTCTTTGTTTTTGTTAATCCTCATGCAAGGATATTTTACCATTGATTTTTGGAAAGAATAGGAGAGAGAAAGACAGAGAGAAACATCGATGTGAGAGAAATACATCGATTGGTTGCCTTCTGCAGGAGCCCTGACCACGGCCTGGGCCAGGGAGGAGCCTGCAACCAAGGTACATGCTCTTGACAGGAATTGAACCTGGGACCCTTTGGTCCGCAGGCTGATGCTCTATCCACTGAGCCAAACCGGCTAGGGCTGTAAACATACTTTTGTCCCACCCTGCATAACACACTGTAGTATAAAACATCCTGGAAATGAAATAGTTAAACAGGAACCCCCTTCCTCACCTCTCATCCTGAAGTGAAAGATACTTAATGGTATCCTACAGGAAGTCACAACATCTACAGGTCTACCCAATGGAAAGAATATATTCATTTTTAGTTTTGACCCAATCAGGAAGTTACTTTTACACCCAATGGGAGCTGGCCAGAACCCTTTTCAAAATGGCAGCAGAATCAAAGGCAGCTGGTCTGACAGCTCCAGTGTATGCTGACTGCAGGAGGGGCAGGCAGAGCCACAGCACCATGCAAACAGGAGGAGCTGCCTTCCCACAGTAAAGGAAGCCAAGCAGCAGATACTTCCCAGAGAATCTTAGCGGAAAGCTAAGTGTCCTTAATAAGATTTTTAAAAGACATGATACTTAAAGTAAACTTTGAAAATATGACCCACTAAAAACAAAAACATAGTTCTGGATTATAATATAGCAAAATAACTTGTCACAAGACAAAACCTGTGTTGATACAAACAAAAAATCAGAATGTGGCCAAAGCGAAGCAGAGCAATGGAGGCCAAGCAAGCACAGAGACCATGGCCTAGCTGCAGGTATTGGGGGGAATGGGTGCCAGATAAGCATTCATGCACACGCCACAGCATAGTATTTAACATAATTTATCTCTGTCTGGGCGGGCTCCAAGTTATCCAAGCACAGGATAGCTCTATAATCATCAACTGACAACCTGGTATTGTCAGGTTGATGACTCCTCCACAGGTTATTACCTTGAGCAACTCATACTCCTGAATATTGCTAGTATTAGGAAGACAATAAAAATTGTAAGAGAATATGCAGAAAATAACACAGTTTTTGTTCTAAAATGATGAAATTATGAATGATTTTTCCCTCCTGTTTTCCAAACAATCCTAATGCTTATTACATTTTATTTCCAAAATAAATAAATAAACATCAAATACAACTGGTACAAAAAAAGAAGCAATATGCTCTAAAAAAAAAAAAGCATTAAAAATCTTTCACTTTAAACTTGGGAATTTTATAATTAATTCCAGTAGCAAAATTACGCATGTCTATATAAATGGTGGGGATAGAGTACCATGTGACTCATGAGAGGGCCTTAGAATGAAACCATCCTGAATATCACTTGGCTCCTTCTACTTTTCTTTTTAACAACATGTTGCTTATTTCCCTACAAAGCAAATCTCATATTATATATGAAGAAAACTTTTACCTAAAATCCTTATATTCTTCTACTTGTCGTTTCCACGGACAGCTCTGTATATTTGTGATAATCTGAAGATAGTCATCCTCTGAATACCTAAGAATCAAATATTAACGAAGTTAGAAAATAAAGATCTCACATACTGCTAAGCAAATATATGCATGTTCTAAAGGACACTTTTAAAATATACTAATTTTAATCCTTTAAGTCTTTTCTAAAATAAAGGAGAAATAAGTAAATGTATACCCATTTAAAAACTTCTAGGAACATACAATTCACAAAGAATTAATATACTGATTTAAGAATGTGTAATTTGTACATAAGTCATATCTAGTATTACAAACAATGACAGCACACCAACCCACATTCCTATCTTATGGCCATTTCATCTTAGCTTCAACTCATTGACAAATAAATATATTTTTATAGGTGTTTAACATAAATATATAGTTTATCATTTTTTTCAGAGTCTAAGTTGATAGATTTACCTTGGGATATATAGATAAAATTTCTTCAAAAGAATCATCCTAAATTTTAAATCTGAACAGTATATTAAAAGAATAGATTGAGCTCAATTTGTAGGCACAGTGGTACAGGTTGGTAGGATTCCAGTCCCCCACAGATTTCCTTCTACCTGAAATTCCATCATCAAGTATCAATTCCTTTAATTACAGCATATTCTTTAGTCTTTAAGGGTTATCATTTAAAATACAACTATCCTTTTGGACAAAAAAACCCCACAACTTTAAATTTTATTTCAATTAATACCTTAGCCATTAGTTGCCAGAATTTGAGAGCAAAGGTCTACAACAGGAAGAAAGAGTATATGTTGGTGAGGGGGTGGAGAAGGAAGAGGACAGTAAAGAATCTTGTCAGAAAATCACTTCCCTCATCCCCATACAGAAAAATGCAGATTCTCCAAAGTTATCTCAGAAAAGAGGTATTTATTATAGGTGGGGAAGGTAGTCAACCAAGCAGCTCCTTTGCCCCTGAAATTACCTCCCTTTTGGGTTTCTCTCTCTCTTCATATTGCTGCCAAGGTTAATAAAAAAATATTTTCCCTTGGTTTCCATTGGCCCAGCTAAGAATAGCTAAAAGAAATCTCAAAATTTTTTTTAGCTAAATACAAAAGAAGAAGCAGAGCACAGAAATACCATAGGAAAGATTAAAAATAGTTGTATTTGTGCCCTGGCTGGGTGGTTCAGTTGATTGGAGTGTCATCCCATCCACCAAAAGGTTGTTAGTTTGATTCCTGGTCAGCTGATTTCTCAACAGAAACTTTGCAGGCCAGAAGAGAGTGGCAATAAATATTCAAAGCAATGAGCAGCAAGGACCTACAAGCAAGATTACTCTACCCAGCAAAAGTATCAATTAAATTGAAGTCAGATAAAGAGCTTTACAGATAAGAAAAATCTAAAGGAGTTATTCACCATGAACCAGTATTACATGAAATGTTGAAGGGTATTCTTTAAAAAGAGGAAGAAGCAGAAGAAGAAAAGGATAAAAAAATATGAACAATAAAATAGCAATAAAACATATCTATAACAATTGAATCTAAAAATCAAAATAAGTGAATAGGGAATATAATGAACAAAATAAACGGGTGAATAATATACAATCAGAGGTATGGAAACATGAAACAGACTGATGAATCTCAGACGGAAGGGAGGAGGGGAAGAGATTAACCAAAGATTTTAGATGCATATATGCATTACCTATGAACACAGACAATCGGGTGGTGAAGGCCTGGGGTGGGGTGGGAACTGGGTGGAGGGGGCAATGGGGGAATAAAGAGGGGACATTCGTGATACTCTCAACAAGAAAAATTTAAAAACACAGACTGCTTATCTCCACCTGGTGGTAGACACCCAGAAACCCTATGCAAGACAAACTGAATAAAAAATTTACAGTCATTCAGTTGTGAGACAATCTCAGGTGGCCAAATACATGTGAAACTATAGTCTTAGCCGGAAAGAAGAGACAAAAAAAAATTTCTGAAAAATTTATGGTAGACAAATTTCCAAATCTAACAAAATCTATAAACCCACAGATGCAAAAAGCTCAATAAACCTAAAGCACAAAAACACAGGTGAAAAAATACACCAAGGCACATAATAAAATTTATTTAAACCTGTGATAAAGAGAAGATCTTAAAAGTAGTTAGAGAAAAAAGACACATTATACACATAAAAACAAAGAGAAAAATTACAGCAGACTTCTTATGAGAAACAATATAAGTCAGAAGGCAGAGAAACAATGTCATTAAAATACAAAACAGGATTTGGGGAAACTGTCAACCAAGAATTCTATACTTAGCAAACCTTACAATAAATGAAGGTAAAATACAAACTTTTTCAGATATATGAAGCCTAAATGAATTTATACCAGCAAACCTGCAGTGCAAAGAATACTAAAGGAGGTCTTTCAGGCAGAAGAAAAATGAAGCCAGATTGAAAACTGGCTTGACACAAAATAATGAAGAGCATTGAGAATATCTATATAATAAAACCCTAATATGCAAATAGACCGAACGGCGGAACAACCAAACAACCAGTCACTATGACATGTGCTGACCACCAGGGGGCGCATGCGGAACATGGCGGGTGTTGGCAGCAGGTGGTAGAGCACGAAACATGGTGGGCCTCAGCCACGGCAGGATGGTGGAGCAGATGAGTGGGGGAGCTAGACCAAAGCGGGGTGCTGGTCGCTGTCATTGGGGCAAGCCTCTGGTGGTTACTAAAATTCTTTGCTCCCACGGGCCATGGTCCTGCTAGGCGTTCGCACCTACTGCTAGCACCAGCCCCACTCGCACCCGCTGCCAGTGCTCAGTGCCGGCCCTGATTGCCTTGAAGGCTTCTGCACCTCCCCCTGTTACTGAGGGGTGATTGGGGCAGCAGCCGCCACTTGCAACTGCTGACGGTACCATCCCCACTCGCACCCGATGCTGGTGCCGACCCCAATCGCTCCGTGCCATCAGCGGGTGTGAACGGGGCCAACGTCCTCAATGTGTGGGAGCAGCGGTGGTGGGAGCAGGGCTGCTGGCAGGCAGGGGACCAGGGGCCACAGTGGGAGAGGCCAGGCAGGGGCATGGAGGATGGGCTGGGACCTGCCCCTGTGCCCACCACAGCCTCGCAGCCCACAGTTCCTTTCAAGGTACATGAATTTGTGCACTGGGTCTCTAGTATAAGTATATTCAAAAGATTTTTCTTATGTTTTAGGTCTCTTTAATAGGTAATTGACTGTTTAAGGTAAATACAACAATAATATATTAGGAATTTTATAATATATATAGCAATAGATGCATGATAAGAAAAAAATTGTATAGTGTTCACCTAAAGCAACCAGTAAAACAAAACAAACCATAAAATGTGTTAAAATCTTATATAATAAAAGCCTAATATGCAAATTGTCCCCTTGGGTGGGCGGTTGACTGGGAGTTCAACTGGGAGACCAGGATTTTGACTGGGAGACCGGGAGTTCAACCACTCACTATGATGTGCACTGACCACCAGGGAACAGCGCGGAACATGGTGGGCGTCGGTGATGTAGCACTGGCAGCAGGTGATAGTAAAGGCACTGCTGGCCCCGATGGGCCCCAACCAGAGCAGGACTGTGGCAGGATGGTGGAGCAGGTGAGTGTGAGGTTCCAGGCCAAAGCGGATGCAAGCGGGAACCCGACTGCCCTGCAGAGGATGACCAGTAGTCCAGTGGTGGTGGCGGGGGGTGGGGGTGGGGCTGCCGCCCGGCTCCCAGGCACTGAGGGAACCGGGCAGGGTCCGATCACTCCGCCTATCTCTCTGCAATATTAATATATTTCTTCTAATTATTTTCCTTTCAATGTGCACTAATCTGTGCACCGGGCCACTAGTATAATTATAAAAGTATTTAATCTAAAAGAAAGCAGAAAAAGAAGGAAAGGGAACAAAGAGTAGGCAAATAAAAACAAAGATGGTAGATTTAAACCCAACCATATGAATAATCATGGTAATGCAAAAATCTAAGCACACCAATTACAAAACAGAGTATGTCAGATTGGATTTTTTAAAAAACAGGAGCCACTCATCTACACTAATAAAAGAGAAACATGGTAATTAGCGTATGACCGCTACCCTTCCCATTGGCTAATCAGCATATCGTTATGCAAATTAACTGTCAGCCAAGATGGCGGCCGGCAGCCAGGCAGCTGGAAGCGAACATGAGGCTTGCTTGCTCCAGTGACTGCAGACTCCAACGTTCCCCGCCTGCCTTGCCGGCCTCTAAGCTGGCAGTTTGAAACATTCTAACAAATATAGAAGCTAAACAAAACCCCAGAAACCAGCTTTCAGCCAGCCGGGATCTCAGAGCTGGAGTTATACATTGTTTCGATTATAGAACGCAAACAGACCAGATACAAAGCAGCGGAAGCCTCAGAGCTAGAGCC